AGTTACAACGTGGCGCGGCGCACATAAGTAGAAGCAACCACCGCAAGGCCTCCTTTTTGAAGGCCTCGCTTCCTAACGGTGTGCCCGGTACGAGGAAGCCTTGTAGTTCAGGTGGCAAGGAGTGGTCACCGACCCACACGGGCGCCTCCCCCGGCGCCTATAGGGAGCACTTCAGCAAGGCCTGGGGGTTGCTCGCCTGTATACCAAATGCGCGTCTTGCCCAGGTCATCGATGTTGGCGTGACGCTTGAGCTCCGCGCGCAAGGTGACAAACGCTGCGCAAGTGTCCGCCGCGTCGCACGACACATACGTAAGTCATACGTGTCATGCAAGGCATAGAGTTCAGCACAGGGCCCGAGCTCGGCGCGCGCCGCCAGAAGGGCCGGGTGGATGCCCACGGCGAACAAGCCCGGCATCAAGGGGTCACCTTGTTCCCCCCTTCCGCCTGGGCTACCTGTTCTCCAATCATGTTCTAGGCTATTTCGCTTTCTCGTCCTCGGGCGGTTTGCTCCTTGTCTGAAAATCTCCATGTGTGCTCCTTGTTCACAAATTCCCAGTCTGTTTCGCAGAGTTTGCTCCGTTTCCTCCTATTCGCAACTTTTACCGTCCTTTTCGAGCGGTTTGCTCCTGGTTCTCATTTGCTTGGTTTTGCGCTGGTCCACATTGCTCGCTATCGCCACGCAGCGTGCCTACGCAGCCTCTCTGCTGGGGCTGCCGCCGAATGTGTGATCCTTGGCCTTGGCGCGGCCGAGGCAGGAGGAAAAGAGGGCTCAAAAAAAGACCTTCCGGCCGGCTCCCGCTCCAGCAGGCTGCCAGGACGATTATTTCTTTGCAGTCGCAGAAAGGTGCGAAGAAGAAACAAATGAAACCACCACTAGAAGCACAACGACCCCTCTTGCGGCAGGCTTGGCACACATATGCCTATGCTATTATGCTACGAATTTGCAGTCTTGATGCCGTCATTGATGCCCGTTGATGATAAACCTTGATTAAATCAGTGCTGGTCTGCCAGCGTGCAAAGTTTCCGTACTCACACGGCAGTACACGGTGTCGGGCAACTCCAGCAAACGCCTACATGGCAGTTTTATGTTCACTCCGGTTTCTGCTTGATTCGCCGCAGAGGGAGCCAGCCAAAGTAGGCCCCAGGTGCTCCGAGAAGTGAAGCATCCTTCGCGGAAGAAGGCGGCATCGTCCACATGCTGAGGGCAGCGCTGCAAACACGCGCTGCGCGGCGACGGACAGTACGCTCTTCCGAGGTTTTTTGAATGATGCATCGCCCGATCCGTGCGTCTCCATGTGTGTAATGACTGGTGGACCAACACAAGACCAAGAATACTCATCTTCAAATCAACAGCACAACGAGGCATGGCTCGGCGCCACACAGCTTGTCAGCAAGCGGCAAAATTCCTGAGAAATGTCTGGGGTTGGAATCACCCGCATAGGAACGTGAGAAGGCATGTTCATGTGTGTGGGTTCAATGTGGTTTTGACCGGCAGCCGCTTTGTGTTCGGAATGGAGAGGGAGGCGGGCCCACGACGTTGATTCGTGCAGCCTCACCAGCCGGCGGCCATGGAGGTCAGCTTGCCCAGCCCAGCGGCCAAGGAGGATTCATATTGGTGGGAGAAAGCCTTCCTCGTCTTTGTTGTGATTGTGTATGTGATTTTCCCTTTAGTGGCATTCATCAATCGTCGACAGCGACGCGCTCAGTCCAGAGTGTCTGATGCAATGCGTGAATGCGAGAATTGTTCGGTGGATTTAGCACACAGCCTTGTGCCAGAAGCAACTCTTCCAGAGTACCGTTTTCGAGGGATGCGCCTCAAGATGTCAGCGATTCACGTTGGCTTCGACAATGTTGGCGTGAAGTTGAAGTCTAATGGACGTTGCATATTGGAAGGTGTCACCGGTGCCTTCCGTCCCCGAAAGATGGCTGCGATTATGGGCCCGTCCGGGGCAGGGAAAACGACCTTCATGAATGCGATATGTGGCCGAGCATACTACGGGACAGGGGTTCGAAACAAAGTCTTGCCTGTAGGTGCCCCCGCAGACTGAAAGCCCAACCCTTCAATGCACCATCCTTGCAGGACCGTGAGCGGCGAGATCCGCATTAACGGGCATGTCAGCAGCATAGCTGAGATCAAGGAGCTGAGGGGCTTCGTTCCACAAGACGACATCGTGCATGAACATCTAACGGTACGTGACTGGACATGTTTAAGATTTGCGGAGTATGTTCGGAGTGGAGTCCTGCTGGTCATGCTGTGAGTGTTGTAGCTCAGTTATGTGGGGAAATGTGGGGAATTATTTCCGCCGGGTACTAGTTCTGAAAGACTGGACAGCCTGATGGTCTGGCTTACCGAGGTGAGCAGCTCTACTATTCAGCAAGGCTCAGAAATCGTGACAAGACGCCAGCCCGCGTGATTGACTACATTGTCGAAGATGTCCTAAACGTCATGCACTTGACAGATGTGCAGCACAGCATAGTTGGCAACGTGGAGGAGACGCGAGGCATAAGTGGCGGCCAACGTAAACGGGTCAACATTGGTTGCTTGGCGTATTCCCGATTGAAGCTATACACTATCGTGATTGGAAGAGCGTTGAATTTGGTAGCTGGAAGGTTTTCGAATTTCTAAGTAACATGGGGTGACCAGAGTCACCCAAACGCAGTAGCTCAGCAGTTCACAAGCTTTGGGGAGACATGTCATGGCTAGTGTTGTACCTGTCCCTACGGTACGTCGTGGATTCGATATTGCGCGTCATTACGTGCACACAAGACACGCATAAGTCTTGTCATCCGGGGTTTGTGTCGATTGGCCGAAGGCCATACCTGCCCAACTCCCATGTCTCAGGTTTAGAACTCGCGGCACGGCCGACGATCTTGATGTTGGACGAGCCGACCTCTGGTTTGGATGCCACGACAGCACTGGATATCATGCGCTCGCTGAAAACATTGTCAGAGATTGGCATGACAGTTGTCATGGTGGTGCACCAGCCACGATACTCCCTGTTTACCCTGTTCGACGAGGTGCTCCTCCTAGGGTTGGGAGGGCAGACAGTCTATCTTGGCAACAGCAGAGGCGTTCTGCCATACTTCACCAGCTTGAACTTCAGGATGCCCGAGCATGAGAACCCTGCCGATTGGTTCATGGACGTGATTTCAGGGAAGGTGAAGAACGAAGCCAACCCGAACCTGAAGTCCGATGGGCTTGCGGAAGTTTGGGCTCAGCGTTTCACCGAGATTGTCGTTGAATCTGGTGAAGAATCTCAGGTTCGAAGAGCGGAACTGTTCACATTTTCTAAAGCTCTGGCTGCCAAGTTAGCAGGTGCAGGCCTGGATTCGGAAACCATTACGGAAGAGAACTTCCTGAAACTCTTGGAAGTGAGCGGGGTGAAGGAACCATCTCCCGATGCCCTTCGGGAGTTGAAGGCTCGTATCGGATTTGAGGGAAACTCAATCTCCCGGGAGCAGCTCTCTAGCTTCCTCCATGGATTGAACAATCCCTTTTCCAGCGACGCACTCAGCGATATTGCCAATGTTCAGAAGGAAATGGAAACTTCAGAGGCTTCCGCCAGCACAGTTGGCAGCGTCAAAATCAGCCAGGAGAAGATGTCCGGAAAGCGCGCACGCTTGTGTGCACAGTACCCTGTCCTTCTCCATCAAAACATCATTCGGTGGATGAGGCTCTGGAGACATAAAGCATTCAGTTTGGCATTGATGTCACTGGCCGCAGTTGTGTTTGGCATCCAGTGCAAGGACAAGCTTACACCGGTGAATGTCCTCTGCCCCATCAAAATCAACATCTCGCATGTTGCTATTGGGCTCCTCATGGGCATTGCTTGCCTCCCGATCTTCGGATCTGATCGCATGGTGTTTTGGCGGGAGAGTGCAAGTGGCATCAGGGTGAGCGCTTTCTTCTTGTCCAGGGTGACGGTCTTCCTCTTCGATGTGCTTGTCTGGACCTACGTGTTCACTGCAGTTTGGAAGGTGAGCTCCGAAGCTCCTTGTGGATACTGGCTTTGGCTGGTGGCCTTGCGGATGACTGCAGTCAGCGCAGCAGGCATTGGCGTCTTGATTTCGACCCTCATCCCCAAGTCCGGTTCGACATTGGCAACAGCTGTGGTTTTGCTCATTATGGGAGGTGCCATTAGTGAACCTCAAGTTGTTGCAGAAGCGAAAGGAAGCTTCAACGAAGTATTGGCATTCCTTTCCCCATTTACCTGGACATCTGGACAGAACTACTTGGCAGTTATCGCAGAGTTCGGGGGCGAGGATAACGTGAACATCTTCGCCCTAGACATGATGGATGGCTACCGCAATGTCCTGCTGTCCATAAACTTGGGCGGTCAGAATTTGGATTACCTTCCTGCAGCATACATTTCCTGCAGCATTTTCGGTGTTCTCGGGTTGACTTTTGGGTATCTTGGGCTGCGGTTTTCTCACCGTGGCAAGCAAGCCTAAACAATGTGCAGTCTTTTGGCAAATTAGTGCCGCGTCAAGACACGCAACGCCTTGTCTCGCATTTTTGCCTCTTGGAGGAGGCTTTGCACCATAATCGCCTTGGCCAACCAGCTTGTGAATCGGCTTGGCGTCACTGCTTTCAGTCCGTGAGTTAATCTCGTTGCATGGACAGTACTAGTTGCTAGCGGTCAAGGCACGCTTATGGCGCATTGTGCAGTAATTTCAGCCAAGGGTTGTGCAAGCAACATTTTTCTTGGCAGGAACTGCAAACCGCAAATTCGGTGATCCTTGGAACTGGACGACTTGAGTAGGTGCACGACATCCCAGTCCGAAATGGACTTCGGAGGAATGCGAAGGGTCAACAGATCCTACATAGGAACATGTTGTGTCATGAGTGTGGACAGAACGCGAAAATGAGGATATTGGGAGCTGGTGCGTCCGAGTCGCGCAGTAGAGCTCTTCAAAGCGCTCATGCATGCAGATGATTCGATGGACCTTTTTGCTCGAAGTTTCAGGTGTCCCGACATAAAGAGGCGACGGGGCTCGACATGGAAGCGGCACAAGCTTGGGAGCTGTGCGTACTCTTGCTTGTAGCAGCTGGGTATGTTGCAATCGGCGTGAACTCTTTCCTGAACCGTATCGGGCGCAAGCAGCAGTCCAGACGCTCAGAGATTTTGGCAGAGTGTGAACGCTGTTCAGTGGAATTGGTGCACAGTGTGGTGCCAGATGCCACTGTGCCAGATTACCGGTTTCGCGGCATGCATCTGAAGATGTCCTCGATCCACATCGGATTTGACAACGTGGGTGTGAAGTTGAAGTCCAATGGGCGTTGCATTCTCGAGGGTGTGACGGGCGAGTTCCAACCCAAGAGAGTAGCGGCGATCATGGGACCATCTGGGGCAGGCAAAACAACATTCATGAATGCGCTCTGCGGTCGGGCATACTACGGGACCGCCGCAGCATTTGACAGTGTTAGTTTGCAAAGTCATGTCGAGGGCAAGGCAAGGAGGAAGTAAGCGACGAGATTGAGCGAAATGCCATACATTGAACTAATGGATGAAAGGCAAAGGCAAATTACAGCAGTACTACAGCAATCGAAGTTCATAGTTCTCTCGTGTCTGCGCCCCTGAAGCACTGGCAGGACAGTGAGCGGGGAGATTCGGCTGAATGGCCGGCCGGCCAGCATTGCCGAGTTCAAGCCGTTGAGAGGATTCGTTCCTCAAGATGACATTGTCCATGCTCATTTGACTGTTCGCTTCTCGGCTTCATGTCTCGCGAAACAGCGAAGCTCATCGAAGCTCCATAGAAAGTGGAAGTGTGATGTCACCGAGTTGTGCAGGATATTCCATGCCACGCTGCGATAGATGTCCGTGTTTCTGTCATTAATCCAACGCAGACTCTGTTGCTGAGACATATGTCGATCCACGGCTGAGGTGAACAGATCTTCTACTCTGCCAAGCTGAGAAATCCAGAGGGAACAGCGCCTGAAGTCTTGGACAGCATCGTCGAAGACGTCCTAAATGTGATGCAGCTGCTGGACGTTCAACACAGTCTGGTTGGAAATGTGGAGACTCGTGGCATAAGCGGTGGCCAGCGGAAGCGTGTCAACATTGGATCCTTGGTACGGATTATGATGGTAGTGACGGCAGTGCCTCGAGGATTAAAGTCTTCCACTTGGCAGCTTCATTGGCAGGGAGGGCTCCGGTGCAGAGCCGCAGTCTTAGGATTTTCTGATTTGCCAGTAGCAGTAGCGTCTTTGCCACCCACCAGAGCCGCGGAGAGTACTGAAGTGTCTCGCACTGAAACTGCAGGATTGGAGCTTGCAGCTCGGCCCACCATCCTTATGCTGGACGAGCCGACCTCCGGGTTAGATGCCACTACGGCTCTTGACATTGTTCGGTCGTTGCAGAAGCTCACGGAGATCGGTATGACGGTGGTCATGGTTGTGCACCAGCCACGGTATTCGTTGTTCACGCTCTTCCACGAGGTGCTACTGCTCGGCCTGGGCGGCCAGACCGTGTACCTCGGCCCAAGCACTGGTGCGCTGCCTTACTTCAAGAGCCTCGGATTTCCAATTCCTCAGCACGAAAACCCGGCCGATTGGTTCATGGACGTGATTTCCGGTAAAGTCCGGAATGAAGGGGCCCCGTCCCCGTCCCGCAAACAACCAGAGCTAGCCACCCACTGGAAAGAATCAGCCAAGCAAGGCCCAGAGCGTTCCATGGGACATCGCCATGCAACAAATCCGGATGACAAGTTCAAGTTCCACAATGCGGTTGACTCGAAGCTTGAGCTGCTTGGCCTGGGGGATGTCAGGGCCATAAGCGGTGAGCACTTCTCGCAAATTCTCCAGTCAGCTGGCATCTCGCCTTCGGAGCCTGCACTTGCAGAGATGAAGAAGCGGATCGGCTTTGAAGATGACTCAGTCAGCCGCCGTGGACTGGCGCGTTTCCTCTTGGGGTTGAGAAGTTCCTTTTCAAACGATGCATTGAGCGACGTGCCTGACTGGGAGAAAGACATGGAGGCATCTGAGGCCTCCATGGTTTCAGGAGCCAGTTCACTAGCAACGGTGGATAAGAAGATGGTGGGAAAGAGGGCACACTTCTGGCCACAGTACCGGGTCTTGCTCCACCAAAATGCAATTCGTTGGGTTCGATTGTGGCAACAGAAGACGCTGAGCACTTTGCTGGTCATAGCCGCTGCGATTATGTTCGGAGCACAGTGTACCGACAAGCTCGTGCCAGGGAACATTTTGTGCCCCTTGAAGATCAACCTTTCGCACTTGGCAGTTGGGCTGATGGTCGGGATAGCTTGCTTGCAAATCTTTGGGGCTGATCGGCCAACCTTCTGGCGAGAAAGCGCCAGTGGAATAAGGGTGATTGCTTTCTTCCTTGCGCGGATCAGCGTTTCATTGTTTGACGTGCTGTTGTGGACCTACATCTACACAGCCGTTTGGATGGCCTGTGCATCAGCCCCATGTCCGTACTGGATATGGCTGATTGCTTTCCGCATGACGGCAGTCAGCTCTGCCGGCATCGGTCTTCTTCTCTCAGCCGTAGTTCCAGAGCACAGCTCAACGTTGGCGACTGCAGTTACGATCCTGATCATGGGTGGTGGCATCAGTGAACCAGAAACAGTTGCAGAAGCGGCTGGTACCTTCAAGGAGGTATTGGCCTTCTTATCACCTTTTACATGGGCGATCGGTGAGAATTATTTGGCCGTCATTAACTTGCAAGGTGGCGAGGAAGCAGTCATAGACTTCGCCATCGACATCGTTGAGGGCTACAAGAACATAATTCTTTCACTGGGTGGTGAGTATCTTGGGTACGTGACTGCAGCCTACATCTCGTGTGGTGTCTTCGGCATGTTGGCATTGGTCTCGGGCTACTTGACGTTGCGATTCTCTTATCGCGGGAAACAGGCGTGAGCTGCACTTTCAGTTCCCATCCCGTGAACTGTAAAGGCCTCCTGCCGAAATGGCAGTAGGCATTTGTGGTCAAGTCGACTCGGCCGTGTTGGTACGAATTTGGACAGTACGAGCTGTGATAAGGCTTCAAGGCATAAGTAAGCGAATAGGTCTTCGAGTTGACCAGTTTTTCGCACGTGGATGAAAGCTCAAGGTCTGATATGACATGACCTGATCCACGTAATTCTGTGCAACTTTGTCAGTGGAAGGTTTGGAACCCAGTCATGTGGAGGAAATTTGCTACTTCCAGTCGGACTTCGAGCATTGTCGGCCCAGTCAGTCCAGCCAGGTAAGGGACAACTTTTGATCTGGGGTTCAAGCTGCCGCCCTGAGACGAATTAGCCTTACATAGAACGCTAGCATCAAGTTTGGCAGCGTGTTTTTTGTATGCTGCATGACCTGCCAGTCCTAATTGGACCGGTAAGACGGACTCGCCTCTGCTTTGTCAAGCATCTTGCGCCGCATGTGAACTGAATGGATCCGAAAGAGAGTGACATCGAGCGAAAACGTGGGCCCCCTTACAGCCTGCATCGCTTGAGCTAACTTGTTTCGCCCTCTGCTTCGACTCAGAATCTGTGCAGTCGTCTTGGGCGTCTAGAGCATCGGCGGCCCCTCCGTATTGCGCTCTCCTTCCGCCTTCCCATGGATGCCAGCCCAAGCCTGCAGCTGATTGGAGCCTGGTCCCGGGCCGCGAGCGATGCGGCTCCGGCAGCTGCCCCACTGGCCCGGCAATTCAGGATCCAAGATCATGTAAGGCGCGAGATCACGCCAAAGCGGACAACTGCAACTTGGATTCAACGGCTTTCCTTCTCAGCGTTAATATAATATGAGTGAACAAGTGCTCATGTCACTATAAGCAGCTCTTCCAGCGCCTTCGTGGGTTTTCAATCTTTCCTCGGTCGCGAGGTTCTGCTGACATTGATCGCGCTGAGCATGGCGACAGAGCGCTTGTGCCCGCCGGACTTTGGCATTGCGGCAGCTGACAGGTGGAAGCCATATGTTGTGGTGGACAGCATTTGCATGGGCATTCTTCTCATTGCAGATGGTTTTCCCCCAGAAGCCGTGCTGTTAGCCTTGACTGTAATTTACGTTCTAGCGGGAATCATCACTGAAGGAGAAGCATTTGCGGGGTTTTCGAGTCCTGGTGTCCTCGCATTCGGCGCCTTATTTGTCCTCTCGGAAGCCTTTGCAGAAGTGCCTCGGGCATAGTTGCTGCATTCCTTTGCCTGTTTTGTGGTATGTAGTTGGGAAGCACAGAGATTTCACTTCAACCCCTTCGTTCGAAAGCTAGCTGTGGAGAATACAGGTCAAAGTGCTGGATGCAATAATCTCCCGCTGTTTGGGAAGCCCGAGAACACTCCTGGCGGCCCAGTTCCGAATAACGGTACCTGTTGCTGTGCTGTCTGCATTTTTCAACAATGGTCCGCTTGTGGCCATGCTGGTGCCGATAGTACAGGCGTGGGCACAACGCCACGGACATTCAGCTGCGCAGCTGCTCATGCCTCTTGCATTTGCATCGACCTTGGGTGGAACATTGACCATCATCGGCTCTGCGGCGAATCTGCTGGCGCATGACCGGGCTCTTTCTCTGGATCCACCTGTCACCATCGGCTTCTTCGATCTGACGCCTTATGCCGCTCCGTTGGGCCTACTGGGCTTGTGCTACATGCTCATCGCTGGCCCCAACTTATTGCCTCAAAGTGACGCACAACCAGCCCGACTTTCCTCGAAGCAGACCCAGAGCCCCAGCCCATTCACTCAGGCTGCAAACGAAGAGGTGTTGCCTGAGGTTGAGCAAGATCAACTGCGCAGGTACCACATTCTGTTCGTTGTTCGAAGCCGCTGTCCATCGATAGGCCGTAGCTTGTATGATATGGGTTTGACACGATTGCCCGACGTCTTGGTTTTGGAGATTCGTCGCCAAGGCCAAGCGTTGCCAGATACTTTTGGCACTCCACTCTGTGCTGGAGATTTAGTCAAGATATCTGCTAGCGCGGCGAGCATTGCTCGGCTCCGAAAGTCTTACGACGGTCTGGAGCCGGCAGTTCACAAAGACCTTGCAACACTGGGCCCTCACAGGAGACACCGACGACTCTTCGAAGCTGTGGTTGCTGCGAACTCTGCTCTCGTGACTGAGCCGCTAGTCAAGCAAAAGGAGAGGCTTCTTCACAAAGCTGGATCGGTTATTCTTGCCGTACGCCCATCCTCAAGTGATGCAGCTGCAGATGTCGAAGCCCGCAACCCGAATCAGCTTGCGCAGGGGGATGTTCTGCTGCTGGAGGCTTTTCCTGACACGTTGGACCGACTGCCGGATTTCTCTGTGATAGCAGCCGTGGAGTCCTCCAAACCCCCACGGAGGGGTCGGCAGCAGGACAGACTCCGAGGCCTTTTGTGCTTGGGTGGCTTTATCCTTGCGATCGGATTGAATGGTTTCGGCTTCCTTCCCTTGGCGACGGCAATCTTGGCGCTGGACTTCTTCTGCTGTTGTGCAAAGGTTCTCAGCTGGCGAGAGGCAATGCTCGGCGTCAATGGAAGTGTAATGATGACCATTGCTGCCTCCTTCGGCATTTCTGCAGCAATGACACGAACAGGAGCGGCAGCCGCTCTGGCAAATGCATTGTTGAATGTGGGACTGCACTCAGGTCCATTTGGAGTTCTTTGCATGGTGTACGCTGGCACTGCACTCTTAACCAATATTATTAGCAACACTGCCACGTGCGTGATGATGATTCCGGTGGCTGTGCATGTTGCAAAGCAGCTGCGGCAGTCTGAAAGATGTGAGGCGATAGACGAGAAGACCCTTCTATTCCTGGTAATTTTCGCTGCGAATGCTTCCTTCGCCACACCCCTCGGCTCCCCCTCAAACATACTGGTTGTAGATGCTGGTAACTACACTTTCAGTGACTTTGTACGATTTGGAGGCATGCTCCAGATCATTATGATGTGGGCAACATGCACCGCGCTGTATTTCTTTCCTTGCTCCACTTCCTAGGTCCCAGACCCGTTTGAAAGCTGGGGTGTGTTGAGCTATGATCAAAAACAGTATGCTAAATGTATCTTGACTCTTGACTCACGTTCCATCAGGATCGCCCGAAGTTGAGTCGGTGTGCGCTGACTGCAGGTCGAAAAAACACAGATACTCCTGGTCGGTGCGCTGATGCCGGGCTACTGTAGTGACTATTCTAGCGGCTTTAGCGGTCGACCAAGCTCAGGCATCATATAAATAGTTACGGTTGTCATGGAAGGATCTTGACGAGTGAAGAGATGCAGAACGTTAAAGGTCATCACCTACGATGTGGATTGGCCAGCAAATCCAAGTGCTCGATGCGTGGCCATATAGGCTTGGGTGCTGATGCTGAAGGAAAGATGGCCGTATCCAGGTTTAATTCGTGCAGGTAATTCGTCAGTGGAGAATATTGAGCCCGGCCGACGGCCAACAGCTGTTCGGTTATGGCAGACATCGAACTTCAATCTGCATCGACCTCAGTCTTGGAAGACTGGTGTCGCGATTTCAACATCAAGCCGCCGCAGCGGAAACTTGGGTGTCTCAGGCGCACAAGACAGAATTTTGCTCTCGTTTACTTTTGTCTAGAGTCTTAGAGCTGTGAGCACGACGCTGCTGGTCGATGCGCACGTGCTCAGGAGGAGAGCCATCATAGCTCAACTACGGAAGCATTTGGAGTCCACGGCTTCACAGGCCGCACGTTTGCCTCTGAGTGCAGTTACGAGGCGCTTGAGAACAAAGACTCCGGATCCACACCGGCTGTGGGTTTTCGATGATGCGGTCAGCGCTCTGACGACGCCCTCAACGGCCGCGTGTTCCAAGGGCAAGGGGGAACATCATCAACATCATCATCTGGGGCGTTCCATAGCAAAGCTGCCGATCTCTTTCTCTGCCAGGACAGTTCAAAAGCCGCCGGATGTGCTGTAGTTAGGGCTATAGCTCGCAATTCAGTCACGACTAACTCGCTGCATCATGTTGCATCGACGGTGCCGTGTTTGACCCTGGAGGCCACTCGAGCTACCAACCCAGTCAAAAGTTCCAGCTTTGGTCTGGAAGAGATGCCGTCGCAAGACTGCCATGTCAGAGTTATCCGGTGCGAGGGCAGCGCTGCAGCGCACCGTCAGCAGCAGGAAGACCGGTGAATCCGAACCTTTGCCGAAAGCATCTTGGGAGAATGTCGGCCCCGCCGCAGCCTTGCCAGCCAGTCCAGGAACCAGCGGGCTTGGCAAGCGTCGCCGCCTCCTCATGCCAGTGCTCCCTACACGAGAAGTCCTGAGTGGAGGTGAACAACTCCTGAACGCACGAAGCCCACAGCGGCTTCAGTCTGAGACGGAAGATGCAGATGTGCACAGCCTGCCTGGCACACCGAAGGCCTGCCAGTCTGCCGGCCATCCATCCGTCATCAAGGACCTGACTCCTGCCTCGAAGCTCGTGCGCCTCTCGATCGCTGCAGCTGAGCTCGATGTTTCCGCGCGCGAGCCGCGCTTAGTCGACTTCGCAACTGGAATGTTGCATGTGCTCCCCAGCAATGGCGTGGTTGCTCTCGGTCGATGCGTTGGCTGTGAAATTCCCGTGCAGAGTCCAGTAGTGGAGATGCGACACTGTGTACTCGTCTGCTCTTCTGGCACGGTGACAGTCGAAGATGTCAGTGCTACTGGCACCGCGGTAAATGATGCGCAGCTGCCTAAAGGCGACTTCTTGCCACAACCGCTGATCCTGCAGCGCGGAGACGTTCTTGCTCTTGCACCTCCGGACGGGCCGAGCTTCCTCTTCTTGGATGCTGCTTGCAGTTAGCACTTCGTCCACATCTCGCGTGGTTCCACATTTGACGGTGAGTCTGCAAGTCCGCGAACTAGACCAGAGTAAAAAGCTGCGTCCGCGGCATCGTGCAGTGTCAGTTTCGTGTCTACAGTCTCGCCACGTGCTTCGGAAGCTGCCCGGGATCTGGACCTACTGCGTAGCTTTCACATGCTTTCACCTTTACCTTTCGTCTGCTCTCGACAAAGCTGGCCATTGCCTGAATCATGCACATGGGCGCATGGGATGGGAGTCTTTCCTTTAGCCGAGTTTGGCGCCGCTAATGCCAGGACTGGGTCGAAGACATTCCGTCTAGCCCGAGATCTTACGCCCCTGTGAGGAAGAGGCATCGAACGTGCCTGCGGTGACTTCCTGCTTCCTCTCAGGCCCGGCGGCCCGGCAGCCCGGCGGCCCGGCCCATGTGCTTAAGATGCTCCGGTGAAGGCTTCATGACGGTCCGGTGAGTCGGCAAGATGCAACTAGACATTCGCAAGGAGAGGCCGGGTGCCAAGGCATCGGATTCATCGGATGCCATCTTTGCGAAAGATGGCAGCGAGCACTAGCGGTAACTCCTACAGGGACAAGTGACAGACCAAGGTGTTTGCTCCTGCTACGAGCTTTCACCAGCTGCTCTGCTGCAATCGCCACGTACACAGCCGTGCTGCTTGTTCCTTCAAGTTCGCAACATTGTGAATGAAAAGCAGCATGTGACGGAGGTATGGCAAATGGTACCCACCAGAGATGAAGGACGCTGAGAGGAGCAAGTTTGGCTACGAAGTTTGGCAGCAAATACCGAAGTTCTGCACAGGGTATCGTCACAGATTCGGAGATTTGAGCCGGCAGCATCAGACCAGAGGTTGGAGATGCTTAAAGCCCCCCCTGCTGAGGATGTCCTGAAGCGGGAGCAGGCGCTCCCGCCTTCCGACCCTCAGCCGGCAGCCCCTTCGACTTCCGTAATTGATGTAGTACAACCGTAGTACCAGACTTTGCAGCTTCAAGTCCATGGAAAATTGGATTGTAGCGGATTCATGATGAATCTGAACCGCATCGCCGAGCTACCAGATTTGCTCTACTCTGAACTAATGCTGATGTGGTTGCCAGCACTGCCACATCAGTCGATGATGACCTTTGGTCATCCAAGGCATGTGGTGCCAGTACAGGTCCTTAAGAACCGTGCGTAGACACAGGGATCAAACGGGCTGGTGCCGTGCTGGTGCTGTGTTGACGAAGAGGTATCCTAGCCTCTGCTTCCTTTGTTTGTTGCGGGTGCTCCGCTCTGTGCCGAGTTTGCAAGTCTGAAAACTGTCCTTCCTTGACTGTTGCGTGTGACGGATGTGGGCTTGAAATTCGATAATGCTGCTTGTCTGTGCTTTTGCTCGGCAGTTTTCACACCTCCGTGAAATCGTCAGCCATATTGTATCACGGTTGACTTATTCAAAGTCTATGAACATCCACGGCAGGCCGCCCCGGAAGGGCCACAGAGACGGTGGAGAGTGCAATCATCAACTCCCTCTGCTCAAGCCACTTCGTGCAATGTGGTATGAAACATCAGACGAACCGGAGTCAACTTGACAAAGGTCACCAACACGGCATTGCAGAGAGTCAAAAGGCCCCACTACTACATGTAACAGCTTGAATGTGCTGGGAGTCCATGCGCTCTAAGTGGTGATGGCGCTCCTCGCCGTGTGCCTTGTCACACACGAAAAGGCTCAGCTTGCGAATGTCACACGGACAGGTGCCTTTGTGCGAGGACCTCCGGCCTGGCGTGCTGTACGAGGGAGCACTTGGTCTCAAGATGTCCTCATGGTCAAAGCACTATAACTTGGTTCTTGCTGTCACGGACGTGTGCTTCAGGAAAAATGTTTTTCCAAATGTGGTCTACCAGGAGAAGAGGACGATGAGATGCATAAGTCTCGGATGCCAGCTGCGGTCTGCTGGAGAAGTGCTTGGCATCTTTGACGTGTTGAAGGATTGCATGCCAAGGGTCATGACGCTCCCGGAGGACGGTGAGTTTGACGCATGGCGGAAGATTTTCCGAACTGCGTGCACAGTGGTTCACATCAAGGTGGCTTCCGAGTTACTTTGAGGAAATGGTCAAGCATCCCGTCTGCAAGTCCCATGTCGAGTGTGCAGCTGCCTCAGAGCGATAACTTCGCGACCTCTGCAGTGGTCAGCCGTTGCTTTGTGGCCTGCTGCGTGAGCGTCTTGAGGTTGGCAAGCCTTCTCGGGTCCTTTGCGAGGCGAGTTGCTGGGGTTCGGAAACATGCGAGCAGCCATAGGTTCAGGCTTCGCCACAAGTGCAACAAGGTCGTCAAGAAAGGCAGCTGGCAAGAGGGCCTGATGACGCGAATGAGTAGCATTGGAGGCTGGATGCATCCATCAGACAGAGCAGAAACAGACGTACTGCCTCCGTCAACTGGAATGGAGACGTGTATCACTCAGGAGCCGAGCTGGTTGTGTCCCTGCCTGCGTGGCGTCAAGGATCTGGTCGCCAAGCCGCACTCAACAAACCATACAGCTGGCATGTCCACGTTGATTGGCATGCTACAATCTTGAGGTCAGCGCGACCGGGTGGGTTCGGAGCATGCCGGCCATGCATTTCTGTGAAGCGCGGTGCGGCTGCAACGAGTCAGTCTAACAGCAGGCCACGAGAAGCCCGACTGGCAGATGGTGGCTTGACACCACAGCATGCTTGGCCCCGGCTGGCTGATGCGACTTCTCAGAGAAAAGCTGTACTTCGCGGGCATGCTGAGTGCAACAGCACCGCGCGCATCTTCAAGAGTTCTGTCATGCCATGCCGTTTCAGGATAGCAGTGGATCGTTACGCGGCTTGGATCCAGCAGCTGCTGTTGCGACTAGACGAAAGTGTACGCACATCAAACAGTGACATCGCCTAAGTCAATCCTCGATTTCAAGATAGTTACTGTGCGGCAGACAGTCGCTTCGTAGGTTACTGGCTTTGCTAGAAGGGCACTCTTGCTACTACCTGCTGAGCTTTGCCTCATCTCTCGGCTTGCATGGCGCAGGCTTCACGGCCTGTAGGATACCGAAAGCTGCAACGAAGCGCAAAGCCCTGGAAGGCTATACACCAGGGTGCTCAAGACTCAGCGGCACAGGGGGGCGTAATGGCCACAGGCCACGGCAGAGCGAAATGCTGCGGGCTGGATATGCTCCGAAGAACTTCGGCGAGTTGCTGCAGCTGCTACAGAAGACACCTGCAGGCACCAGGTTTTCTTTGCGGTGGAGACAGAGCTAGAAAGCAAAAGGCCATGCAACAGTCTTCCTTACTAGCTGTCGCCTTATCAGTTCTTCCAGAAGCAATGAAACACACTCTCAGCTTCACAATGAGAGAGAGCCCTTGACTTGCAAGGTCCATGGAGGATAGGGAAGGTAGGGTAAGAAACTTGGGTTTTGGGCGATGTTGGAGGGTCCGGCGCATCACGCGACAAGAGAAAGAGAGTCGCTGCGGCGGCGGTGATGGGAGGTGCCAGATTTCTGGGATGATGGGCACCGCGAGCATTGTGCACCCCGGTGCAAATGTAGCACAAGCGTAGCAGTTCGACAGAATTGTCGTCACAAGCAGTCCTTTTGAAAGGCTTGACGGTACTCTGCAGAAGTTATCGGACTGTTCTCTGATTGGAGGGCACGAGGCCCTGCAACAAGACAAGCATAACGAATGACTGCCCGAAGCCTGGCGAATGCTGAAGGAGCTACTCGTAGAGCTGAAGGTGACGAGGGCGTGCTGGACAATCTGTGCAAATGCAGGACAGTTGCCTCACTGGCCTAGGGCGCATTGTGATTGAACCGATAGTCAGTAAGGGATGCGAATGGTCGAAATGTCTCCCAGTCGCGAATGATGTGCTAAGTAGGAGCCTCCCCGCAGCTTTGATATCAGGTGCCCTGCGGGCGGCCCTTGAAGATGCTGGCCAGGACTCGAACAGGGAACTTCACAGGCACGTCCAGAGTGCCAAAGAGCTGGGGATGGTGGTGGCCACACTCAGCAAGAAGAGGCTGTGGCAGATAGCACTAGAGCTCATTCCACAGTTTCGGGCTGGAAAAGTTGAGGCTGATGTGATTGCATACAATGTCGGTATCTCTGCTTGTGAGCGTTCACAAGCCTGGAACAATGCCATCGAACTACTCGACACGATGACTCGGGAGGGTTTGGTGCCCGACGAAGTCAGCTTCAACTCGATGATGAGCGCTTGTGGCAGACGGTGGGCCTGTGCCGTGAAAGGTTTGCGAGAGCTTGCCTTCAAGTCTGGCATGTCACCCACAACATACAGTTTCAACTCATGTTTGGGTGCCTGCGAACGCAGCGGACAGTGGACACTGGCGAATGCCCTCTTTCTTCACATGGGTGCTAGCAAGGCGGAGACCGATGCCTACACGCTCAGCTCAACCATGAATGCATGCCGAGCCAAACCTCAGCCTTGGCTGACGGCCCTGGAGCTGTTGCAGGAGATGCCGTGGCGCAAACTTGTGCCGAACGAAATTATTCACAGCTCCGTCATGCAAGCATGTGCTACAAGCAGTCAGTGGAAAGAAGTCCTGCACAGCTTCAGTGCAATGCGGGCGCAGTCCATAGCAACGGGCAGCATCACCTATAACATTGCCATCCGCGCATGTGCTAGCGGTGCTTGCTGGCAGCCAGAGCCTCGGTTGGTTGCGCATAAACTGTTTGACGCAAGGCATAACATGTGCCCAGTCCGGCTGGGACCTTGAGTTTTTGTTTGTAGGGCTTACATACCATCGTGAAGACAGACCCCGTGCCCCGGTGACCTGCGTACTAGTTAATTGCGGAGATGCTTTCTGACGGCTCGGAGTGCATTGAGGAATGTGCCGCCTTTAATTTCTGAGTGGACATGGATCGCCCATGACTCATAACCTCCTGCTCCCTGGCTAGGCTGGCATTGCAGCTCTTTTCGGAGTTGCAGTCCGACCTGAGGCAATGGCTTGAAATTGGGAGGGGTGGTAGGGATTCTCTGGATGTTTCCCCGTGAAGATTTGCAAAAACTATGCTTGGTTTAGGCCGCGAAGCGACAGCTATGCAGCACTGCTGGCATCTTTCGAGGCATCATCACTCTGGGCAATGGCCTCAAAGCGAGCAGGAGTTATCAGAGATCACCGGGAGCCGACAGAGTGTGAAGTTGAAGTCCGAAGGGTAGGATGGTGGGTCTTTGGTAGGCATGTATCGCGCTGTTGTTTCAAACTCTCGGATCCTGGACGGAATTGCCACCCATGTCGTCACAAGCCTTCAACGGTGAGCTTGCCATGTCTATGGAGCAAAAACAATACAAGCAGGTTGAGCCTGTTCTTCGCTCCAGCTTCATCCAAGAACCGTAACCATAAGTTAGAGTCAGATGCTCTGGAGCCGCTGCCATGTGCTACTGGACGACGGTCGCTGACGCGAGCATCAGCACAGCTCCAAAGTGGGCCCCACACACATCTCCGACAAGGAGCAGCAGGCGGACGCTGGCAATTTCAGCCAAGAAGTCTGATGTTTCAGCCCGATGACTATGCCAACTTCCAGTGCTCTCGGCTAGCCGAATGCAAGCGATGCAGCAGTCGGAGAGATGCTGCAAGAGCGAGACTTGGAAGATCTCCGCGAAAAACTTCAAGGTCACCCGGACCTTTCCGCCGGCCACTGCCTCGTGCTTTCTCCCCACCGCCGCCACCTTGTGCTCCATGTGTAAACAAAGCTTCGACAAACGAGAACCCCCAGACATGCGAGATGGTTACGCAGCTTCTTGAAGATTTCACAGAGCGAGTGCAGAGCCTGTTCTTGGCGCTGATGGGTTTTAATCATCCTCACATGGAGCGGTTGCAAGCTGCACTTGATCAACATGTCGTGGCACTTGGTCGTGGCCTGATGCGAGTGATGGCTTTGAAGGATGCATTCAGTGCTTTCAGATCTGCAATCAACGGCAGCCAACTGTGGAAGAAATTGCGGCAGTGCCACCAACGCCTCTTTTATTGATACTCGGCTGGAGCAGTTTCGGGCAGGTGTTTTTCACTCTGCCTTCTCATGTAAGCAGCGATTCATGAAGGTCAACAGCAAGTGCAAGCCTATGCGGCCACAGCCGCGGAGGACTGTTGTCTGAAGGGGCGCGGGCCAGGATAAAGGCCATGGAAGTTGTTCATGGAGACTCGCTTCTGAACTTCTGGTCTGTGCAGGAGGCATGTCTGCGACAGGAGAGCTTGGAGACTTCTATGCTGCTCCGCGAGCAGGCTGCTCGAGCACGCTCTGTGGCGGCCAAGAAGCTCCGACGAGGCCCCGAGGCAGCCGGACGTTCCCGTTCCAGCTCGAGCTTCTGTAGGGTCAACATGGACCATGTCACCCTGTCGTTTGAGCAGGCATTCGTGAAGGCACCCTGGTTGTACGAGACTGGGCTTAAACGTGAGGATGCCATGCAGGTTTTACAGATGCCTGCAGACTGAATGTTCGATCATTTTACGAAGGTCTGCTTCAACCATTGGGGGAAGCTGACAAAGCTGAGAGCGTCCAAACGGTTGATGGTGGAGCACGAGCATTCGTGCAGGCTTCATGCGGCAAGGGTGTCTTGACAACGAGCACGCCGTGCTATAGTAGATTTGGCACCACAGATAGACTGATGCGGCCTGCTAAGGCATGCGTGCTGCAGTCCTGCTTCCTGCACTGGCGTCAATCATCCAGCAATTCTAGACGGGAACGTCTTCTTGGGGCCAAAAGCAATGCAGCTGCGCTGGCTGTCTTTGCCCAAGAACAGCGCATCAAAACTGCAGTGCAACATGTGGTGCCTTAGCGATGATTGGATGCTCTTGTCTGGCACTTCTTGGATGAATGCCACTCCTTGCTTGGAGAAACCCTGCAGGTCACCAACACCGTTCACAGGCAAAATTCACCTGGCATGTGGAAGATCCTTGGTCGTTGGCAGCTTCTGACCTTGAGGCCACCGTCAGATTGACAGGCCCTGTGAGAACAAACAGCCACTGCTGGGCCAGGTCTCATCGATGTAAATGGCAGGAGCGAGCTGCTGCAGCCGCCCCTCAGCTTCAGCAGAAATAGCTCCGAGAACAGCATCAAAGAGCTGAAGGCTAGTGGTAGCGCTGCTTCAGTGTGCCTAGTCGGCGTAGTATCAGTGTGGCCTAAAGTTCTTTGAGGAGCTGGCCGTGCATCAAGAGGGTGCGCTACGACAGCGGATGATGCAAGCTCTAAGCCGACTCGAGCTCAGCTCCTGCTTTGCGGCAACAAGTATTGACTTCCTAACACAGCACCCAGGCAGATGTTGTGAGGGCACCCACCAAAGCCTCCTCAAGGCATGTTTTGGCAAGGAATCTTAAGCTGATGATGGAGCAGAGCCTGGGTTCAAAAGGAATCTTAATCCATGCCGTGTAGTGAAATCGGCAGTTCAACTGAATCGCAGGCGGCGCTTGCGCGCTGGATGGCTGGTGCTTGCATGTCAGCTACCTTCCGACGGAGCCGCGAAGGGGCCCAGCTTCTATGCAGAACAGCAAACTTTGTGTCAGTCTTGGGCCCTTTGACCTCTCGCTAGTGTAGATCTTCTCCTTTGCGGTTAGTTGCTCCAGTCTTGCTGCCCCTGCCCTGAATGCCCACCTTTTCCTAGCATGCAACAGGGGGAGACGTGCCAGTTCAATTGAGATCCCATCATTATCGCGCAGGCAGTACTAAGATGACGGTACCATTTGCAACTATATGCTGCTTGTAGAAGCGAGAACATGAGCCCGACATTGTCTGCAACTGCAGCTGAGGAAAGCGACTGCTTGGAACGTCAGCCTACTTTGGCGCCGCTTGCAGAAAATGCTATAAAGCTGTTGAACTTGCTGAACTTGTAGTGCTCGGGCCTGCTTGAACGGACATGTCGCTTGCGAGGTCGTCAAACGCGATGCACGGCATGGAGGTGCCTGACTTCCTGGTCACTTCACAACAAGATTCGAAAACTGCAAGAGTCATTGACCAGACTGTCTGTGTCTTGCCTGCCATAGTTAGTTACTGTACTGTTGAAGCGCATTTTGTCCTTGGGATGACCTGAAGAACACTCAGGAACAAACAGCACCAACACCACGGCGTCCCGCCAGCGCTTCCGACAGATGCAATGTGGGCCATCCTGTCGAACTAGAAGAGAAGACTTTCCAACGAAAGTGGGAGAGCCGACGGCTTAGTTTACTCGCAGCAGCGTTTGCAAAGTTGTTTCCAAGCGGATGCGGACCCACGGAATGCAGAAACTCGCAGGCGCGCCAGGCTCCCCTCGCAATGCGCAAGCCTTCCCTCGCATCTTTGGGCCGAGCCAGGAGACTTCAAGGTGGCATTGGGAAAGCAACCAGTGGTAAGCAGGATCTGTGTCTGTGAGTGAGTGTGTGTGTGTGTGTGTGTCGCAACAGGCAGACAGCCGCAGCAGCCGCCATTCTTGGCCAGTACAGCTTCTCTGATTCCCCGATGACGTCCTGGGAGGCTCTGGCACTCTCAGGGAGGGATGCTCTAAAGGTTCACTTCCGGTCAGGTCAAGCAACACTTGCACGCAGCTGCGGATGCAGTCTTTCAGCAGACCCTGGCTAGCAACTATGTTAGGTATTGTTCTCGGATGCCGGATGAGGGTTTGATGGCATCTTGAATGGGAAACTGGAACATTGGCTAAAAATGGCGAATGGCTAGAACTGGCGCGAAACAACAAAGGTTTGGTTCGTCTACTCGCAATGAATCTTGGCAAGCAGTGCAAGTGTGGCGTGTTGGGAAGTCCAGTCTTCAGCCAGCTGGTCTTTGCCGTGATCGCAACATGTTGTGGGCGCTTGTTCGCGAATCAAGAAGAGTATTAGTACATGGCAGTAGTACAGAGACCCGAGGCGTCGCCAGAAGCGATGAAGCACTGGTCATTGGCCAATGAAGCGTCCATGTCGGAAGCGGGCAATTCGGCATGCAGGGGCTTAGGCTAAAGGGCCTTGGAACCCGTCGTTATGACACAGCAAAGATGCGTAAAGTCGCAGAGGCCGCAGGCACGAGATCTTGTTTAGCACCTGTGGTCGGATCAACAGAATTGCGGAGCGGGGTTGGCGAAATCGGGTAGCGAAGAGGACGACCGAATAAGATTGAAACTTGGTCACAATCAAGTCAAGAGCCTGAGCTTGCAAGGCTTTCAGAAGCTGCGTGAGTATCATCGAGAGCAAGCTCGCGAGAGACGCAAACAATCGAGCAGATGATCTCCGGTTTGGCACGATGCAGCCATGTCGAATATGGCATGGTGATTCGTGCCGTCATTGGCTACACTCAGCCCGACCTGCAGCAGCTTTATAGGTGGCTACAGCACATGTCTTGACTTCGACTCACCTTTATGCACGGCGCGTAGATCGATCACGAAACGTGTGTAATTATGCAATGTTTCACCGAAACGGGCCAAAAGCTGCCCGAGGATCTTGCAGAAATGGGGCAGGCCAACGCACAAAAGCTGGCATCGGAATGTTGGCAGGCACAATGTACAGCGCGTGCTAGCATGTAGCAGATCGCTTGACATTGAGGTGCGATCGTTGCAACTGGTCAAGCACATGCAGACAAGGCGGGTGCAGGTGTGACATGCCCGGCATCGCACCTGCTCGGTCCGAAGGAGTGTCTCTCCCGACAAATTCGTGATTGCCACTGCCGTTGCTGCATGCGAGAAGGCGAACCGGCAGCTGGACAGAGCGTTAGGTGCGAGGATGCCCAAGCTGTTGCCTTTCACGACAAGGCACGGCGATGGGAAGAAGCTCTTGGCTTGGTGGCAGAGGCCTTCAGTGCATTCAAGACCCCTGCATCTAGGAGCCTATGCGCGAATTGAGCATGCCTCGCCTACTTATCTTGCTCATGCCAACCGCTGCCGATCCTGATCTACAGGCTTTGGCACAAACGATTGTGCCGGATCAAATCCTGTCCGGCCCTGTGTTAGGTCTTGCCGCTCTCGTCAGATGACTCCTTAGGTGGGTTCTGGTTCTACGAGCCGCCAGGTACAGCAGCGCTATCAGTGCGTGCGAGAAAGGCAAAGCTTGGAAGTCGGCCGCGCGCCCAAAGCCGGCGTTCAAGAGGTTTTACAGTTTTACCTGGTGTGCTTTTGCTGACTGGAGTCAAGTCGTTGCGCTGGTCTAGTCTAGCCCAGTCCAGCGACAGCTTGCTTCCGGTTAGGAAGCAATCATGCCCATAAGTTCAAAAAGCAACAGCATGGTGGCCCCTGGATGCCGAACAACTTGCTGCTGTGTTCTTATGACGGGGCTCGTGGGCCTCTTGCTTGCGCCGAATCTATTGGCATTCTGGCAGTGGGGCAAGGCGATTTACCAGCTTGGCCTGCGCCAACTGATTTTTCACTTTCGAAGGGTCAGGAAGTTACGAAGCTGTAGTATCTGCACGCGGGTCATCCTCCCGACAGAGCTGTATAACCTTTGTGGATGTTGTGATTTTCTGTGCTGTCAACATTGCGCTTTGAAGGGCGAGGCTTCCCATGAGCACGTGCTTCATGATGAAGTTGAGCCTTTGGTTGTCCGCACTTCACCACTGGCGGCTGCCAACACTGCTGCACAAGCTTTGGCCATATCTTTTCATCTTTACGCAAGTCGGCGCTGTGTGGGCTGGCGCGCTGGCGAATCCTACATTTGGCACTCATACGAGGAGATTGGAAATATGTCTGCCAATTTTGCAGACAGCTTACAGCGGCTGTTGCGAAAAGTGTCGGTGACCAAAGGCATCCCAGTCATCGGCTTGCTGTCGGCGGTCAGCATTCCATGGTTCATTGTCGACTTTGCATGCTCTTTGGCGGCTATCCCGTTGGTAACGATGCACCGTGCAACAGATGACGCAGCACTGGCCCAAATTCTCGACAAGACTGGTCTACGCCTTTTGATAGCCTCCAAGCACCTCCTCCCGGTGATCCAGCGGGCTTCAAGTCGCGCATCTGCATCGCAGCTGCAACTGGTAATATTGATCGAGGACTCATCCGAACCGTACTGTTTGCAGCAGTCCTCTCGCCCACTGGTTGAAGAAGAAACAGACAGCAGGCCACCAAGCTGGCAGCAAAACGGATTTCTCGAGACACTGCAAGAGGGAAACGATGCTTTGAGAGTACCCTCCTGGAGGGATCCAAAACGTCTCGCCAAGCTGCTGCCATCAAGTGGAAGCACTGGAGCCCCAAAACTGGCAGTGGTGACGGAGGAGGCTTTGTTCAAGGACAGTTACGGGCGAACCCCCGAGTCGTCACCAGGCCGTTTTGGGAAACCGTCGAAGACCCATGGCTGGTGCTGGCCAGCGCTTCAGTTAGTTTGAGATACTGATCCCAGGTCTGTGGATATCGTCACCTACGCTTATGAAGCTATCCGTCAAAGCCACGACGTGCTCATGCAGGGCGGACGCATAGGCACAGGTCTCAGCACGCGTTGAGTCGAGCAGCTGTGGTTGCCCACTGTAGACTGCGGCTGTAACGAAAGCCAGGCGTATTCTCTGGCTCGTTGGATCGAATGCTGGAAGATGTCAGAGCACTTCGCCCGACTGTCTTTGCGGCAGCACCAACGCAGCCCAACCGCTAACTGCATGCCTTGAAGTGTGTAACCAGGGTCACAATATAGTGCAACCAGCCACTGCGTCACGTGCGGTAATGTGATTGCTTAGGTTCTGGACGGGCTTGTACAATGACTTTGAGAACGATGTTGCTGAGGAGGGTGCGCAAACAAGCCAGGGGGGGTCGGATTTTGTCACATAATTTCACATAGAAGAGCTGCAAGGTTTCGACCTCTAGCAACTCTCTCTAGTTCGTCAATTCTTGCCACTGAAGCTTCTGTCTGGCATACTAGGAGCTCGAGAAAACGAAAGTCCATGAAGCTGTGGCTCGGGCATGTGTGTTTCGGACATGGCAAGCTCCTGAACCTGATGGGCACGTTTTCCGTTGTAGCTTCTGTACGATACTTCGGGCCATTCAGCACACGTGACTCAGCCAACATCAGGAACGAAGCCTGTTGGGCAACCGCATTGATGTGTTGATCTCCACGGGGGCACCGTTGCAGCATCAGGCCCGAGGGTGCGCAGTGCAGCAATAGCTCGTCCCGAGTCTCCTTGCAAGTCACTGCAAGAGAACACTGCTTCTTACGTCCGCCCTCCACAATTCTTTCTTGCCCGTGCGAGAGCCATGTGCATTAAGCCTTCCATGGCACAGCAAACTTGTACAACTGCGGCTTCATCAAAATCGCAATGACCACGAAATGCAGTTGCAAGATGCAGAAGCAGGCCAGCAAAATCCGCAAGAATCAAAGTACAGGGCATTCATAATATTCGATGGTGGTAAGTTGTCGGCTGCATGCTTCTGCGATCCTGGGAGGAGGTGCAGGCGTTGTCGTGGCATCAATATTCCAGCCAAATCAGTGGACACTGGAAGACGGCGTAGACAAGGTCCTGCCAGGTGGTTTGCATTTGTACCACACGAGCAAACATGGAACACCCATGAACACCCGAACACCTGCCGATACAATTGGCGCTTGCCAGCTAAACAGCATCATATCTGAGTCTATCTCTTCATTTCACGGGTAATTCTAGGGGCTGCGCCCACGCGTGGGCAGCACAGGCACCCCCCCTCCGCCGAAACCCGTGATGCTGATGATGCGTGCCTTTTGGGTTGCGGAAGCCACTCAAAAGTTAGCAAAATTAAAACATCGCCTCGCACTGCAGGGCCGGGTGCGGGCCCCCGCCACTGCTTGGGGAACGGCTGCGAAACGCATGCGAAGCCTAATGGAAAAACGAGGGTCCGATGAAGCAAGGTCGGCGGCACTGCCCGTCCCGTTGCCCCTTCTGCTAACGCATAGCTAGATTGCTACACTCGCCCAAGGCGACAACTCACAGGACGCATGCGCTGGGGGACCGAGCGCTGCCCGATTTTCTGAATGCAGACAGTGCCGATGAGCATTAGCGACATCTGACGCAGGTGCAGCGCTTTATCACTAGCCACATGTCCGCAGTTAGTCATCATTCGGCCCGATCATGAAACGCCTTGTTCCTTAATGTTGGTTGGTGCACTTACAACAGGGGTCTTTGGCAAGCTCGTTGTGGACGGGACTCTTTGATGCAAAGCTATCATAGACAGTTTTGACACTGCCCAGTTTGTGGTGCTTCATGTTCGTATCGTGCCAAGGTATGGATGCACAGAGACTGGCAGGCTGAGATGTTTCTGACTGTGCATGAGGTGGGCAATGTGTGCTGCACGCTACACTTGGACAGAGGATCGCCAGCAATGGTGCAGTGGCAGAGAACGTGGAAATACGCCTGCTGGATTTGCCTGAATTGGGATATCTCACCTCCGACAGCCCTCCGCGCGGCGAGATTTTAGCCAGGACGTCCTATATGGCAGGACAGCTAAATAGTCACTCCATCATTGTGTCTCGTGTGTTACGGCAGCCAGCGAAGAGCAGGATACTTCAGCCTGGAGAGGTTCACTGATCAAGGCAGCTCGTTCTGCTCGAGCTGGTGTGGGTAGAACGCTGTGCCGCTGTGTGCTGTACAGCTTGATAGATGCCGCATCCCCATTGCGAGTTGCGGATATCTTGTTTCAGAACTTGAAGGTACTTTTCGGCAAATGGAATCCGACTCAGAGGATTGGATCGTGCTCAACAGCGTGATGTACTTTCGCACTGGCGACGTGGGCGAGCTGGCCGCATGCATGCAAGCAGGCAAAGCAGAGCTGAGACGGAATGCTCGAACACTCACCCGTCGGGTTGAAAGGTTGCACCTGGCAACGTGCGTGTGATCGATCGATGCAAGCACCACTTCAAGCTCGCCCAGGGCATCTATGTGGCACCGGAGCCAATCGACACCTGCTTTCATGCAAAAAGGAAGGTAAGTACAGCAGTGACTGGTTTTCCTAAACGGTTACAGAGACCGCAGAGCGAGGCTTGTGTTTGGAGCTTTGGCCTGCCCTGTGTGTGTTGGATCCAGCTGTTGCAGGAACGGGTCTTGCTGCAGAGCCCGCTGATCTCGCAAATTTTCATTTGGGGATGTGGCGTTATGCAGGCCTCTTGCTTGGAAACTCCAGCACAGTACGGGGTTGACGGACTCTCATTTGTGGGCATCGACAAGCCAGGCTACAGGCGCGGTTGCTGTGCCCAGCATGAAGCTGCTGCAGAAGCTTGGGCTGGCAAACATGTCGCCGCCGGGCCGACAAGCTAAAGCCTGCTCTGACCAACTCTGATCTGAAACAGACTTCATGGCTGCCCCAGCACAGCGGACGCACAAGCAAGCCGAAAGTCTGAGGTTGGCTGCTGCTGTCGAGTCAGCCAACGACGAGGCATCAGCTCTGGTCCTCCAAAGCCTTGCAGATATTGGCCGCAGATGCAGTCTAAGAGCATGGGCCGCTTGCCGGCACATGTTGTGGGGATTTGGCTGCTGGGCTTGGCCATACCAAAATCGAACCGACTCAACATCTTACCCAACTCGTGCCTCGTGCCTGTTCAAAGATGCAGAAACCAGTCGCTTCAAGGGCTAGCAGGAGACAGAAACAGGCAAATCTTCAGGGTTGCGACGGCAGCCAGCTCCAAGTGCCAGCCCAGCGTACAGTCACTCCACTGCACTGCAAGACCCACTGTAGAAATCTAGTGCGTGGCGTCTCGCATGTTGCGACGGCAGGAAATCCCACAGCGCATTGTCCTCGAGCCGGTGGCCTTCTCGGAAAACGCGGGCTTGCTCACCGCCTCGGGGAAGCTCAGTAGAATCGCACTTATTCGCCGCTTCTTGCATGCAGGTTGTGCATGTCAGACGGCTGGCACGGCTGACTTCGAGTGATTTTCTGGCAGTTTGACAACCGGGCTGCTGAGGTTATGGAAAGTTGCTGTCCGTCCCGTGGCACCATGGATGTTCATGAATCGGTGCGAACTTCTTGTCTCCATGTCGTTCAGACGCCCTTTAAGGATCAGCGGAGCGACTGCACAGGGCTGGAGATCACCTCAGCGCTTCCACAAACACCTGGGTTGTGCGCTGGGCTACATCGCATTCTCAAGCATATTTCTCCGAAGCAGCCGCTGGGCTTCAACGCGGTTCGTTTGATTTTTCGAGGGTCGCCACTGGTCGCCACACTACCAGTTCACTGCATGTTCCCTCATCCGGTCGTGGGCTTGTTCTCAGATTCTGATTTTGTTTCAACCTATTTGCCAGCGCAGGGAAGGTAGATCATCAACGCCACAATGCTTGCCCGTAACGTTCAAATATGTCCTTCGTGCACCTGAGGTGAGGTGAGTACACACAGTGTGGCAAACTTGTATTTTGACGCAAATGAATGGCAATACGCAACACGCGAAGTAGTTCGTTGCCACGGTCTCGTGCTGACTGGAGACGTGTTAGCGCCGGCATGTGATACATGGGCCAGGTGGCGGTTGCTTTTTCAGCTTCAGATTGCTTCGTATTGCCCCACCGTTGATGGATGTCTGCAAAGTTGCGAACAGCCTCTGCTTTCACATGCCTCCGGACAGCCCGAGGCAGACCACCCTTCGGGTTTGCGGACCTGACACGTCCCCAATTCCTGAGAGAAAGCGAGAGAGAGAGAGGAGGCCTCTAAGCCCGGGCCTCTACGCGCAAGTTTCACAAAACGACAAACCTCGGACCATTGGTATAGAGCCCCCAAACACCTGCCAGCACTGTGAGAATCGAAAGCATAAGCCTTGAGCCGTGCACTTCGACATGCGCTTCGAAGTGCCCCTCATCGGCGCAGCCAGGAACTTTGATCCAAGAGACTCTATCATCTCACTCGGTTTGGACTCCATGGGTGTGGCGAGACTCTCTGCCCAAGTGTGGCAGAAGTTTGGGCATGAGGTTCCAGCACGTGTTCTCTTCACGCCTGGGGCTTACTCGAAGAAATGCAGAGACGGCTGAACACTGTGATCCTTGTGACGCGAGTTTGAACCACCTGTACTGTATCCTGACCTACTCAGTGGCACTTGTTGAGATATCTCTGACAATTCCACTAGGCTGGAGACCCTTGCGGACCTGGAGCGACTGATTCTGGCTGGGCCGCGAGCGGCACGCGCGATTGTCGGCAAGTGTTCCGCGGTCGTGAACTTTGAGGAGGAAGCCGCCGCGAGATGTGAGGACCTTGCACGTTGCATAAAAGGCCAGGCCAGTGCCCAAGGGACACCACAGTCGGGTCACGTGGTGCTGCTGACAGGCAGTACCGGTTTTCTTGGATCCTTTGTTGCTCACGCACTAGCCCACGCCGGTTTCAAGGTGCTTTGCTTGGTGCGGGCCACGTGCCAGGAAGAGGCCACAGAAAGATTGCGTTCATGCTTAAGATTCTATCAGCTTTCTGAGGAAGTTCCCGAGACAATATCTGCTCTGCCTACAACAGGCGTAGAGAATCCTTGTTTGGGTTTGTCCGAGCATGTGATGCCTGGCATTATCAGCACAATCGTCCACTGTGCAGCAACAGTTTCTGGCGTGTTGCCGTACAGCGCCCTGTGCACTTCCAACGTGACCGGTACAAAGCAAGCTATCTTGTTGGCACTGCAGACAGGGGCAAGGTTGGTACATGTTTCTACGCTGGGCTTTGTAGATGATGGCCATCCGGAGGTAGGCAGGGTCTCCACAGCCCACTTGCATCAACGATCGGGGTATGCCCAGTCAAAATGGATGGCCGAACAGTTGGTCTGGAGAGCCACGGAGTCATTTGGACTACGAGCGGTTGTCTTGCGACCTGGCACGGTTTCTGGGGCCCGGTCTGGCGCGAGCAACACCACGGATGCTGTGAGCCTCCTGCTGCTTGGACTCGTCAAGTTGGGCTCTACGTGCCTTGATGACCGATCGCCATTGCCAGCGGGATTCAATTTGGTTCCAGTGGACTACGTTGCAGATGCTGTCGTCTGCTGGCTTGAATTGTGTCGAGCATGTTTCCCCCATGCCCTGCATGTCGTCTGATTCCTGTTCATGTTTTCTCCGCAGAAGAAGAAGCCCCAACTTCCAGGCCACATATCATAAATCAGATACTGTAGCCATATAGCCACAGCGCATGTCGAGCAAACTGGGTGAGTGGGGCGTCTAACTTGCAGGTCGTTGTAGCAAGGGCCAGGCGCAGATGCTTGGCTGTACTCAATCTTGTGTTTGAAATTTGTGGTAGTTCACGCTGTGTCAAACTGGCAGTGCGAGATGTGTCATCTCAGGCTTGCCACCAGGTCCGATTCATCTTTGTGCGCAGGAAGCCATTTCCACCCGAACTTTGTGTCAATGGTTGAGTGAAGATGGTCTGCGCCTTAGTCGTTCAAGTCAAAGGTGCTCATGACAATTAATCAGAGTGCAAGTGGCCAGCACAGGCCATGAGTTGAAGGACCTTTCGCCGGAGGAATTCTGTAAGAGAGTCCAACAGGTTGGGCACAGCATGCTTGCAAACTACTGGTATATGAGCGTGTAGATTTCGCGTATGTTGAGTTACCGTGAAGGTGGACGAAACGCATCCGTTGTATGCTTTGCGAAGCAGCTTGGGCACTTCAAGGTCTGCCTCTGCAGACCTCCCAGTCCTTGAAGCGCGAAACGAACGAGCTCTGAAGCTGAGGACGCTGTCTTGCAACACGTATATAAATGCGGCAGAAACATGCAGGGCTTGCTAGATGTGCCTGTACATGGCCTCAGGACGCCACGCGCCATGACCAAAGACTTGTTGGTTAAGTCTATCAAATTCTTGAGATCGGCTCACGATAGCCAGTGCCAGTTCCGACCACAGTCTATCACCGATGAGAAAGGTGTGGCGAATCCAAAATGAGCGAGATAGGAAGCTGGTGCTGATCCGGGAACTCTCTGGAGCTGTCTTTCGGGTTCGGGGAGCTTTGGGAGGCCCTTTCACCGGCAATCCTGTAGACCATCGCGCCATGTTAGGAAGACTTGCCGCATGTAGCCAAAATAAATGGCAACCGAGACCAATCCAGCCTTTGAAGCCATATGAGCCTCTCCAGCTGTTTGCTCTGCCTGTTGGTCTGAGCATGTTGATAGCAGCCTGCAGCTTCATGACCGGACGATATCGGCATCTGTAGCTTCAGAAAGCGCGAAGAGTCTCATGGCCGATGGTCCCGACGTGCAAAGTGACACGATTGACTGGGGCAAGATCCTTGGAGAAGAGCTGATGTTGAGTGGTCGCGCGCAGGCAGCTCTTGCCGACAAGGCCACAGAAACAAGCACAGAAGGGAGTGTACAAAAAGCCGACGGCGAGCAGCCACTGGCAAAGGAAGACAAGCAGAGCACTGTGCGAACATCGCATGCAATCTCAAGCGGATTGAAATTGGTAGTTCTGTACTTCTCTGGCCGATGGTGCCCTGCTTGCACGGAGTTCGACCCCGTTATCAGGGACGTGTACGCCGGACTGAAGTCCCTGGAAGAGTCGTCAGACATCGAGATCGTTTGGGTTTCTTGCGACCTATCCGAAGACACGTACAAGATCCACATGAAGCGAATCGGGTCCTTGCTCGGAGCTGTCTGGTCCCCAAAGCGCTTGCAAGAACTTGCTGATCGCTGGAAAGTGAAGGCAATTCCAACAGCTTTGGTTTTGGACGCACGAGATGGCCGGATAGTAACGGCAACTGCCAGGCGAGACATGGAAGAGGCTAAGCAGCGTGTGATGCGGAGTGGGTCCAAAGATACTCGGGAAACTGAAATTTATGGAAGCCTTATGTTTCGTTGGCTTGAGCTTCTCGATGCTCAACGTGCAGCTTTGGATGACGGGATGCCTGTGAAGGATGAGAGCTCTGACAGCGAGAGCTCGGAAGGGTCTGGGCAGTCTTCACGCAGCCACGCGAGCAAAGCTTCGTCGCGGCGAAACAGTGAAAGCTCGGCACAAGCAATAGCAGATGAAAGTTGAGCAAAAGATGAGCAGCCATGCTCTGGGCAGCGAGGTGCATCAGTGCATGAAACGGCATGTTCCGTGAAGCCGGCCTTGTTTGTCCAAGGCGCTGGCTTTGTACCGCGAAATGCAAGACGGAGGCCTCAAGCTGTTGCCTGTCGCTGCCTGCCTGACTGGAAGAAGCTTTTGCCTGGCCTCTTTTGGCAGGTTTACAAGTTGATGTGATCACATGCGCGGATCCCAAGGAGTCAGAACCCGTGCGCAGCCTCGAAGCCGCAAGTTTCTAAGGTGCTGCGATGCTGAGTGCTTGTGAAAAGTGCTGCGCTCCAAGTCTGCGCAGTGTCATCTTGCAATTAAACGCATGGCGTTTCTGTGCGGCACCCACAGCAGGTAATGATGCTTAAAGCCTGGAGGGAGTTACCGACTGAATCACGATTGCAACCGCGACAATGCTAGGATAAACATAATATGCACATACAAATCACAAGTGACAAGGAAGGACCCTGCCTTGATGGTATCGCGAATGTTGCATCGACCGAATCCACGCCACATATCGAGGCTTGCAGTGGGATTGGGCACTGACCTTGTTGAAGGAGGCGCACTGCGTTTGTCCGTGTATACTGCAAGAGGCTATCACACCGAAATGATGGGGCAGTGTAGTAACAACGACACCATCACAAATTCTCTTTCGCAGCGATGCTTGACAGTGATGATCCAAGTGGCATCAAACCCCAAGATGGTCAGCAGCTGACCAAAGTCTCAAGCGATTCGCCATGCCCTAGGTGCCAAGGGGAAGAAACACAGGTGGCAGGTAGATGCGCATTCATCTATCGAAGCGTAGTTTTTGTTGCAGCCTCCTTGGACAGTTCGACTCTCCGAGGGGGGCAGTCAGCTCTGAAGCTTCGAGCAAACCAGCCAAGTCTATTGCCGATTGCAAGAAACAGATGAGAGCATACCAGCACCGTCAGGCCAGCCAAAAGTCTCGGCTCCATATGTTTCACCGGCATGGGGTGCACAGCTTTCGAATGCACACGCAAAAGCTTTGCGTCCTAATTATTCTTCGAACCTCCGTTCGCCAAACATCGCTGCAAGAGGTGATTGTCGAGCATTGTGCATTTGTGCAGGCCGCATGCTCGCAGCTTGCTTTGGACGTGACCGCCTACAGCGTCGGAAACCAATCCATTGGAAGTTCTCGGTGCCGTACAGGGAAGAGTGTATCTGTCGCATCGCACTGTGCACTACATTAGGCGGCCATCAGCGCTTGTGCCGCTGCTGTGCAATGGAAGTGGGCAGAAGCCCCAGACGCATAAACCTTGCCGTTGCTCAGAACCACCCGTCTATTCAAGCTGTGATAAATCGTGCCAGCTCGGAAGGAATTTTGATTTTGCTGCGTGCGAGGCCGTGCGACTGTCCTCAGAAATGGCAACTGCAGGACATATGCCGCCTAAAGAAAGGTATGGTATGGTGCTCACGAGACCGTAGGTGAAGAGTTGGATTGTCTAGAAGCTCCTGTCACGCAGGAGTCAGGCGGGCAGGGACGGGCTGGGGGATTGGATGTGTGCGGAAGCAGCAGCCATGTCTCCAACGCGAAGTTCTTCACTTCTCGCTTGTTTTTGAGTCGCCTGCCAGGCCTGACACGTGTGCATTCAACGTTGGAGCCTAAGGCTGTTTGCACAGAATCTGGGCAGAGAGCTCTTGACTCTAAGCCAAATGCGTTCACGTCAAGCACAGAGGCTGTGGCCTCATCATGCGAAGCAGCGGGTAACTGGCAGGGCGCGTTGCAAGCCGTCGCCATGGCCTCGAAACGCTTCCAACATCCTGAAGCGAAACCGAAACCCTGTGCTTTGAGATCTCGTGAGACCCACGTTCAACCATCTGATGCCATCTGCTATTGCTACTGCTATATGGTGTTCTATGCAAAGTAAGGTGGCGATGCAGATTGGCAATCAAAGGTGCGCACGGGCGAGACGAAATGACAGACACCTGCGATTAGCGCAATGAGCGGTGTTCCTGCAGGCCCAATGTTCTGACCTTTGGAGTCGCTCTCAGGGCTTGCGTCCAAGGCCGGCTGACGAGCGAGCAAAGAGTGGGCAGCATGTGGACTTGTCAGGAGTTCTCTGGGAGCAAGCCTTGAACTTTCTCGTCGGAGCCCGTCAAGGCCGGTTGCAAGTGGGAGGTACAGCGCAACCTTGCACCCATGATTGAAGCCGTGACTCTTCACGGTACAATCAAGACGTTCCTCTAAGTCAGCGCAGAACGATAGCCCACTTCATCATGCTCAACGATGCAAGCAGCGTTGTCGTTGGCGAGTGTGTTGAATTCGCTAAGCGAGAGATGCATACGCAGTTTCCAATGCGGCTCGAAGTCGCTATTATGGATGAGCTTGCAACGTGTCTTCTTGCATTTGCCTTGCGTAGTGATCTTTCGTCGTGACGGAGCGGCATCCAGTCCCGTCATACGGCCAACAGATTCGCGCAAGACTGCGAACGAGTGCAAGTTCAGAAAATGCATGAGTGTTGACTCCTTGCAGGGCAACTTTGTGTTTTGTGTTGTCGTACTGCTCGCAATACTGATCCAAGGATGCAGCTCCTCAGGCTAAAGGTGTGGCTTCTGGCGTCGGGCATTGGTGTGAGCTAGATCTTTGTGTCCACCCTGAAAGCGTTCGCTTTTCACCCAGAGAAACCCTGTGCCAACTTAACAGTCCTGTGCTATCCCAATTATGACATACTTACGCAACTGCCCGAATATGCTACTTGTAGCGAGGACTTCAAAGCTCCACGAAGTCGAGAGTGACTTTTGTGTGTGTGTGTGTGTCCAACCCTGTTTCGAAGGGAGAGAAGTAGGCAGGGGGGCAAGGGCTCCAGTGATCAGCCTTGCCCAACGAAGCCAAATCACTGGAGTGGATGCAGTGGCTGATCACCACTGTGTACCTGCTTTCGGATTAGCCAGTGGGCCCCCTGAGGCACTGGAGTAACCAACACTAGAGTGACAGCTTCACGTTTGCCACTGCCGAGTTTCCTGCATGGTTGCTGCAATCTGATATTCAGGTGTGACTCAGAGCTGTGTTTGAGTGAGGGCTTGCTTTGAGCTGCTGACTTTTCCTGACAGTATGCACCGACAGATCAGACCTGCGACACGATGTGTCAAGTGTGCTTCACAACGGCATTCCCTATGGGCGCCGTGTCTCCCAGAGGTAGCTCTGGTGTTGACTTTCCCGATTGACTGTATAAGCATTGGATGACTTTCCCTGATTCTATATCCGTGCTTGCAAGCTGACTTTCTCAGTGAGTCTTCACCGAATGCTTCTACCGAAACCTGAATGCTGACTTTTCCATTGACTGTCTATGATCAAATCGACTTTCCCGAATCTGACTTTTTCGCTGACTTGTCGCAGGTCTTTGGCTACAAATTGAGTACCTGAGCTGTACTTCTGGGTAGTTGCTGATTAGTTTGCCATGGATGCTTCAGGAAAGAGACGCAGTACCCGCACATCAACCCCCCCCCCTCCTCCCCCTCCTCCCCCTCCACCCTCCTCCTTTCCCCTTCTCCCTGTGCCTCCCCCTCCCCTCCCCGCTTCTGCCCCTGCCCCCGCCCGTGGTACCACAGCGAAGTGGATTCCACCCCCCCCTCCCCTTCCCCCTCCCGCCTTCCCCCCTCCACCCCCCACTCTTGCAGTTTGCCCGGCGCCTGCTTCATCTTCTTCTTTGCCGGTCCCTTCTGCATCCAATGTTGGAGCGGGAACTACAGATGTAACTCCTACCTTGATTGCTGCACGTGCCGTAAATGATCGGCAGGTTCTACAGCAAGAGGTTCCTCCTGCAATTACTCTTCATGCAGACGGCACAGGTTTCCGGTTGTCGTTTCGTTCGGTGGCTGATTTCGCTGAATACTCAGCGATCATGTCGGCAAACTTGACACATGTCCGAGGC